AGGAGGGAGAATCACAGCGTCATCAAGGTTGGAAAAGACCTCTAAGATCATCAAGTCCAACCATCCACCCAACACCCCCATGCCTGCTAAACCATGTCCCCAGGTGCCACATCTAGACGGCTTTTGAACCCCTCCAGGGATGGGGACTCCACCACTGCCCTGGGCAGCCTGGTCCAAGGCCTGACCACTCTTCCAGTAAAGACATTTTCCCTAATATCCAGTCTGAACCTCCCCTGGCACCACTTGAAGCCATTTCCCCGAGCCATCCCAGTGACCGGTGCAGGAGTCAGCTGTGTTACACGCTCATCAGTTAATGAGTTCTAACGACTTCTTGTCTGTGCTCGGTTTGCCAACTCCAGAGCGGTGGATTTTTTTATAATATGGTCTGTAAGTCCTCCTGTGGTGAAAACCTTCTGAGGAGGGGAGGAAGGAAGGAGGGAATACTCTGCAAGCAGTAAAACATAACGCAACGTGAAACGCGCCTTGAACTTCCACCCTGAAACGTTCCCGACCTTTAGGGTCGGTTTGACGTCTTGCTGTCCCGTGACGCTTTGGTTTCTCTTGCAGGCAAAGTGGCCAGAATGAGCATATTGCCCAGATAATTTAGGTTGTCTGTGTTGTGCTCGTGGCTTTAGAGAGAGCCCAAAGACTTGTACCTGTAGGACAGCTAAAGCAGAAATAGAAACAACCCCAAAACGTATCTAAAACTCTTGGCAGGTCTCGTTCCTGCTGTCGGAGCCGGCGGTGCTGATGCCTGGGTGATGTCTTGCCCGGGGCCTGCGCCTTGCAGAGCCAGCTCTCCACTGGTGTCAGTGGGTTTCCAGGAGCTCCCCGGAAGCGGAGGAAGCGTGGTGTGGAGCTGCTCCTGCCGCGGTGCCGGCCTGTGTCTCTGACTCTCTGGTTTTCTGCGTGGCGGGGAGGTCAGCGCAGGGCCGAGCTTGCTGTCCAGGCTGGGCGAAAAACCGCTCCCGTGGCGGGGGGAGTGCTGCAGTGACGTCTGGTAAACAGAATCACAGAATCCCAGCATGGTCGGGGTTGGAAGGGACCTCTGTGGGT